TACCTCTCTCCCATGATTCCCTGCCCCCTTCCCAGGATCTACTTCACGTGTGTGTGCAAGGCCTTATAGATACAGAGAAGGATTCCCTCTCTACAGATACTATGCCCCCCCCCTCCTCTCCCCTCCCTCCCCCTCCCAGAATCTACTTCACGTGTGTGTGCAAGGCCAAATCGACTCAACAATCCTCTCTCCCTTGGCCCCCTTCCCTGTCCGCCCTCCCTCCGTTAACCAGGATCTACTTCGCATGTGTGTGCAAGGCCGTCACAAGATGCACGGCACGCAAAGTGGAGGACCGCATCGCCGGCCCGCCCCGCGGCAAGCACTCTGCACCGTCCGCCGTCGTGACTTTTGAGTCGACTCAAAAGTCAAAAGTGGAGGACCGCATTGCCGGCCCGCCTCGCGGCAAGCACTCCGCGCCGACCGCCGCTGCTACTGCTTCTGCTGCTGCTGCCAGCACGGCGGACGCGACCTATGCTGCTGATACTGCCGATGCTGCTGATACTGCCGATGCTGCCGATGCGGCTGATGCTGCTGCTGATGATGCGGCTGCGCCGACTCTTGAGGATGAACGCCCCACCCGCCCCGAGCGCATGGAGATGCGCAAGGTGATACGCATGACGACTTCAGGCTTCCACAACCACCCTTCCTCGTTGTGTCTCAAGCGCCGCCGCCGCGCCGACGTCAGAGCAAGCGCCATGGCTGCTCCTTTTCAAGACGCGGCAGCAGCCTACGCAGCACCGCTTGCTGCCCTCCTGAAACCTCACCATGTCCCATCTCATCATGCCGCAACTTCGCAAGGCACTGAAAGTCCCAAAAACGCATCACGGGGTGAACTGTTCTCGACAATCCCTCAATTCATTCCTGAGGTGCAGACCCGCGGCGACAATCCCAAGGAGATCCTGTGCGCGTCAAACCCACTCACTGACCTTATCCCGTCCTATCGCTCGCTTGGTGATACCAAGGAGACTTGCACTGCCCTTGCGCCTGCTGTCCTCTCGCACAGAATCGTCGGCACAGCACAGCGGAGGAACTTTGGGAGCATGCATGAGCAGATTATGGCACTTAGAAAAGAGACAGAGGAGATAAGCCAGGCTGATGATAAACCGGGCTTCCCAATTGATGGATTCTGCTTCTCTGCTGCTGAACGGATGAGCTATCGGCCAAAAGAGCTGGAATTTCAGCCTCAGGAGTTGTTAAATCAGCCTCAGGAGTTAAGATATCAGCCTGGGCAGTTTGAGGAGTTGAGGTATCGGCCTGGGGAGTTGAGCTACCAGGCTTCAAAGCGGCAGAGGGCAACGCAGGTGAAAGCTGAGCCAGATGTCTCTTTGGAGAGTCCCGGCGCCAGCTGCAGCCAGGATGAGCCGCCCTGGCGTGCCGACAGCTGTGTGTCTGCCCCACACTTCTCAGCCGTGGCTGCTCAACGGTCCTCAGCTGCCACCTGTGCTATAGGGAACTTGCAAAGAACATCGTCGTATAGCCACGACGGGCTGCCCTGGCCTGCTGGAAGCTCCATGTCTGCTCCACACTTGCCTACTGGGCCGCTTTGGTCTGCTGCTGGCAGCGGCGATGCATCGTTCTTCCCTCGGCTGTTTGCGACGACCTGCGCCACTCAAGGGATGCTGCACTGGAGCAGCCTCGGACTGCCACAGCGCTTCCCAAACCAATGTTCGAACCCAGCAGGTCCGGCAGGCCCGCCAGGCCTGGCAGAACCTGCAGAAAACACCGAACCAGCAGGCCTGGAACCTTCAGCGTTCCTAGCACGCCCAGAAGCGCAAACAGCCGCAGCAACCTCGGCAGTGGCTCTTCCGCAAGACTGGCAGTTTCCAGCAAGTGCCAAGGTTGGCAAGAGCAGCAGCCCTGATGTCGCACTATTGCTGGAGGAGCTGTTGACTCCGGCTGAGTGGGAGGTCGTGCTCTCACGGATGGTCCAGAAGCAAGGACCGTTGGATAAGGTATTGGAGCAGCAGATGAACGGTGTGGATGATAGTAGTAGCGCCTGCATGCCCGTGGCTCAAGGCGCTGGCGTGTGCAGCAACAGCAGTAGCTTTGTTGATGCTCCAGGCGCTGGGGGGGCAGCTCCTGCTGCAAGTATGGATTCTGGCGTTGCTGATAACGCTGCTGGTAGCGCTGTTGGTGGTGCTGGTGGCGTTGGTGATGCTGATGCTGCTGCTGTGGCCAACGCTCCAACTTCAGTGGTTGTAGCAAGCATGGACTCCAACATTGCTGCTGCCGCTGCTGCTGCTGTTAGTGGTGGTGGTGTTGCTGCTGCTGTGGCTAATGCAGGAATGGTGCTGCGTGCATTGGATTCATACCGGGACCTCGCCTTTGCGTCTCCCACTCAAATCAGGGCGTCGCCCCCGCCAGAACCCCTGCCATTCCCTGCTGCTCCTGCTGCTGCTGCTGCTGCTGCTGCTGCTGCTGCTGCTGCTGCTGCTGCTGCTGCTGCTGCTGCTGCTGCTGCTGCTGCTGCTGCTGCTGCTGCTGCTACTGCTGCTGCTGCTGCTGCTGCTGCTCAGACCGGTGCTTCTTCTGCTGCTCCATCAATGATTGCTCCTGATTCGATACTCGCTCAATCTGCACCTGCCGTACCTAACACTAAGGGAGCTACCCCCTTGGATCCTTCAGCCAAGATCAAGACCGAGGTGAGCACCTCCCTTTTTTTTTTGGCACTTTGCCTTGTTACTAGCAACGATTCTCTTCTTGCATTTCTCCATCTTACACCCTGTCCCATCCTGTGCATATATTCGTTGCAGCTTATGCAGCATGAAGAGTTGGCACTGGCCTGGCCAAGCTATCCTGTGCCAACCTACGCTGCGCCGACCTATCCTGCGCCGACCCCTTACTCCCCAAAGAGGTCTTCCCTGACCTATCATGCCACCGCCCAGCGTTGCTTATCGTATCCTTCACCAACCCTGTGCACCCCATCGCATAACACCTCCTTCCACCGCACACCATCCCATAACACCCTGTCGATCTGCATCAAGCTACAGCTCGTCCGGTGCATTCACCTGCAGACCTGGTGTCAACAAGATCACTGCTGGAGTCACCTGAAGATTTGGTGTCAGCACGGCCACTGTTACAGTCACCTGCAAAATTGGCTTCAGAAACCTCACCGATACAATCACTTGCAGATCTTGTTTCAGCAAGGCCACTGCTACAATCACCTGCAGATCTGATTTCGGCAAGATCACCGCTACAGTCACTTGAGGATCTGATGTCAGCAGGACCACCAATACTGTCACCTGCCACTCTGGCTTCAGCAGGACCATCGATACAGTCACCTGTGGATCTGGTGTTAGCGAGATCACCGATACAGTCACCTGCAAAGCCGCCAGCAGCACCACCGCTACAGTCTCCTTTCTCGCTTTCACGTGCGGAATTGCTACAGTCTTTCAACCAGTCACCTGCGATCGATGCACAGTCCATGGACTTGCTTCTGTGGCAGCTTGAATCAGAGTTCCAGGCGTCAAGCCTCGTTATGTCACCACCAATGGCAGTAGCAGCAGCACCTGCAGCAGCAGCAGCACCTGCAGCAGCAGCAGCGGCGGCGGCGGCAGGAGCAGCAGCAGCAGCAGCAGCAGCAGCAGAAGATGAGCCTAAGTATCTCCCTGCACCTATTCATACCGAGATGCATGTACCAACCTTGGTTGTCGCAGCAACAGGAGCCGTGGAAACAGCAGCACAGCGCCCGCTACAGCCAAACCCGCTACAGCCGCACCTGCAGGCCAGAAGCCCAGTCATATTTCCTCGGTCATTCTTGCAGCAAGGAGAGGGTACATCTGGTGGTCAAACAAGCATGGGAGGGGTTCACGTTGGCTTGTACGATGGTCAAATGGCCATGTGTGTTGATCAAACAGGCATGTGTGGTGGTCAGTTGATGGGTATGGGCAGCGTTCAAGTGGGTATGGAGTCTTCTTCGGGACAGCAGGATGGGGAACAGGAGCTGTTTCCTTCAGCCGTGGCTGGCAGTCAAGGGGACGGGAAGGGGCTCTCTCAAAACGAGCTCCCTCAAACGGCGCTCTCAGAACGAGCCCTCTCAGGAGGAGCTCTCTCAAAACGAGGCTTTTCAAGATGAGCTCACAACAAACTATGACAAATTACTTGAGTCGATGTCTTTTCATGGCAACGATATATCTGAGTGGCCTATGGCACAACAGCTAGATGAACTTCTGCTAGACAATGCAACTTTCACAAGCTTGAGTTAGTGTGGTGACAGGATGTGTAGGCATGGCGTGTATTCCATTTGTTTCCAATGTATTAGTTTATTCAGAATCAACTGTAGTACCCATTGACTAGTGTATCGTATATGGTGCAGTGATGTCGCCATTGCAATAACAGAAAGGAACACACCATACAGCTGTGTGTGAGCCAACAAAGAAGAAATAAAAAGGGGGGAGCGAGATTGGGTAGTAGGCTAGGCTTATTGCGATTGTGTCTATAGGCCTTGTTACTTGATTCAGTTTTGACCGTTCGGAAGGCTGACCGTCAGAAACACAATACACGGTATTCGAATCCGGAGTGCAAAATGCTAGGCCGGCTTCTCAGATTGCTCTTATTGCAATGGATGAGTGTTACAGCTTTGCTAGCAAGTGAAAAAACATCATAGAACCTAGCAGATATCAATTCTACTGCTATAGCTGTACTGCACCCACAGCAAGCACGGCATGGCCTCATGGTCAGCACCAGTCAGAGATAATAAAAGGTTTGTTTGTGAGGCACACATAAACTTTGAACCGCACCGCTACGGGACAGTAAAGAAAATGTTACTGAGGCGCCCCTGAGACACCACAGAAGCAATTTACGCCCACAGCCATGCTCTTGAGAACAGCTGCGGGCGGAGAGAAGGCACATAAACCCCCCATCCTACTCCTACAGAGATGAAGAGAGATCTGGTCTGTGAGGCGCCTCATATATACCCGCTGCGCCCACTGCCCTTGGAATCAGCTGCGGGTGGAGCAAAGGCACACACACATAGACCCCGAAGCCCACCCCTACAGGGACTAAGGGAATGGCGAGAGCGATGAGCAGCCAGGACCACCAGGCAAGCCTGCAGCACGCACGTTCAGCAGTGCTCTTGGAATCAGCTGCGGGCAGAGCGCAGGCACACATAGACCCCGAAGCCCACCCCTACAGAGACAAAGAGAATCGCGAAACTGATGAGCAGCCACGACCACCAGGCGAGCCCGCTGGAGCACGAGTAGCTGCAGCTTGCAGAGACGTAGGCTGAGAGGGGTGGAGGGAGGGGTAGAGATAGAGGGAGGAGTTGATGGGGAAATGTGACGAGTGCTGTGCGGTGGGAATGAGAAGGTGGGACCACCAGGCGAGCCCGCTGGAGCACGAGTAGCTGCAGCTTGCAGAGACGTAGGCTGAGAGGGGTGGAGGGAGGGGTAGAGATAGAGGGAGGAGTTGATGGGGAAATGTGAGGAGTGCTGTGCGGTGGGAATGAGAAGGTGGGACCACCAGGCGAGCCCGCTGGAGCACGAGTAGCTGCAGCTTGCAGAGACGTAGGCTGAGAGGGGTGGAGGGAGGGGTAGAGATAGAGGGAGGAGTTGATGGGGAAATGTGACGAGTGCTGTGCGGTGGGAATGAGAAGGTGGGACCACCAGGCGAGCCCGCTGGAGCACGAGTAGCTGCAGCTTGCAGAGACGTAGGCTGAGAGGGGGCAAGGGGGAAGCGGAATGGGAGAAGCGGAGAGACAGAGGAGTCGATGGGAAGTATGAGGAGTGACGTGCGGTGCAGCAACGAGCAGCCAGGACCACCAGGCAAGGCCGCTGGAGCACGAGTAGCTGCAGCTTGCAGACCATAGGCTGAGAGGGGGCAAGGGGGAAGCGGAATGGGTGAAGTGGAGAGACAGAGGAGTCGATGGGAAGTATGAGTGACGTGCGGTGCAGCAACGAGCAGCCAGGACCACCAGGCAAGGCTGCTGGAGCACGAGTAGCTGCAGCTTGCAGACACGTAGGGTAGAATGAGGGTGGAGGGGGGTGGGACGGGTGGAGAGGAAAGAGTCAAGTGATTGTGATGTGAGCTGGTTAATGAGAATTCTAAAAAACCAGCGAGAATTCTAAAAAACCAGCGAGAATTCTCAAAAACCAGCGAGAATTCTCAAAAACCAGCGAGAATTCTCAAAAACCAGCGAGAATTCTCAAAAACCAGCGAGAATTCTCAAAAACCAGCGAGAACTCTCAAAAACCAGCGAGAATTCTTAAACACCAGCGAGAATTCTCAAACACCAGCGAGAATTCTAAAAAACCAGCGAGAATTCTCAAAAACCAGCGAGAATTATCAAAAACCAGCGAGAATTCTAAAAAACCAGCGAGAATTCTAAAAAACCAGCGAGAACTCTCAAAAACCAGCGAGAATTCTCAAAAACCAGCGAGAACTCTCAAAAACCAGCGAGAATTCTCAAAAACCAGCGAGAATTCTCAAAAACCAGCGAGAATTCTAAAAAACCAGCGAGAATTCTCAAAAACCAGCGAGAATTCTAGAAAACCAGCGAGAATTCTCAAACACCAGCAAGAATTCTCAAAAACCAGCGAGAATTCTCAAAAACCAGCAAGAATTCTCAAAAACCAGATCGTGATGTGTGGCGTAGGAACGATCACGCAAGCGCGCTCGAGCACGAGTAGATGCAGACACGTAGGCTGAGAGGGGTGGGTGGGTGGGTGGGTAAGGGGAACGGGAGCAGAAGGATGGGAAAGTCTGAAGAGTTGATACGGAATGTGGGTTAGAATGAGCAGGCGGGACCACCAAGCAAGGCCGCTCGAGGACGAACAGCTGCAGACACGTAGGCTGAGAGGGGTGGAGTTAAAGAAACGGGAGAGATGGAGGAGCTGATGGGAAAATGTGAGGGGAGTGCTGTGCGGTGTTTCAACGAGCATGAGTAGCTGCAGCAGGCACCTAGGCTGAAAGGGGTGGAGGGGAGAAAGCTGTATAACTGAAGGGGAAAGAGGGAGGGGTGTGATGGGGAATGTGGGGTAGCAACCGCATTCACACGAGGATGGAAGGACGGCGAGTGAGTGAGTGCAGGGAGGGAAGCGGGCATCTGATTGGAGCACCAGTTTTTTGTATCGAGACGTTTCGGAATCGAATGTGAGAGATCTCAAATTCGACTGGAGGACAGTAAGTGCCAGTTACTCACTCCCAGTGGGAAGGTGAGAGAGTGCAGGGAGGGAATCGGGCATTTGATTGAAGCATGAGGTTTCAATTCGAGACGTCACAAAGATTAGTGTTGAGACGTTTCAGAAGAAAGTGTTGAGGCGTCTAAAAAATGAGTGGGGCGTGTGGGGAGAGCGGGGAGATGGGGGGGATACGGGCGACTTGGAGCTACTATTGCACCCTATTATCATCTGATTCTCGTTACACTCACCTGCACACCATATAGTATATCTTCCTTTGAATCACCACCTGCTGCACGCAATACGCGTCCTTTACGGGCTATACTTCGTGCGATATTCCGAGTTTTTGACGAGCTACGATCTATCGATACATTATATCCAGTCACACTCACCACCGGAGTTCCAAAAGGGCTGTAAGTAAGTGGCACATCCGTAGAGTGTTGCGTAAACTCCATACTCGCTATGATCTATTCATACATTATCCAGTCACACTCACCACCGGAGTTCCAAAAGGGCTGGAAGTAGGTGGCACATCCGTAGGGTGTCGCGTACGCGCAGTTCTGTGGGGGGAGGGGGGCGGAAGGAAAGGGGGGGAGCCGGAAGGGAGGCGGGGGGGAGGCGGAAGGGAGGCGGAAGGGAGGCGGGGGAGAGGCGGGGGGGAGGCAAACTGATGGGGAGAGAGAGCGGTGTGGATAAGTGGAACATCCGTAAAGTGTCGCGTACGCGCACGTCTGTATGGGGGAGGGAGGGGGGAGAGGAGAGAGGGGGGAAGCGGCGGGGGCGAGGCGAAGAAAGGGGAATAGAGAGCACGAAAAAGCTACGTGGCACATCCCTAAAGGCGAGGGTATGCGCAGTTCTGTTGGGGAGGCGAGCGGGAGGTACGCAGTCCGAGTCGGAGTTAACGAGCCCGTGGTGCAACCGGAGGACGAGTTATGAGTCGGCTTTATAAAGTGGACAGAATGAGGAGGAAAGGGAGGAGGAAGATATGGGACGGAGTGAGCTTCTCACGTTGCACTGGACAACGCAGTCATTGTTCATGAGATTGGTGTCGGGAACGGTGCACACGGCCCCACATTGCGCCGCGGCGAAGCTGACGAGGCACGACGCGACAACCAGGAGCGCGAGGTACGTCGCGGTATGCGATCGTTGCTTCATGGCGACGTGGCGACGGCAAAGTACGTAATAACTTGCGGAAGTGAGAATTTTGGAAAGTCAGATCCGAGGGGCCAAGAACACGGACGAGTTAGGAAGCGAGGGAGGATGGTTCACTGAGTTATTAGCTTGAGAGGGGATAGATACAGGCTTGGGCTTCTGCAGTGTGTTCTCAAAACTGTTCCGTGCCAGGGACGGCTAAACAAGACTCGTGATGGTGGGGCAGCTAGAACTGATGCTCCTGGATGTGATGTGAGGGCAAGACGCAGCAATCTACAACTTGATGTCTTCGCTTATTGCTGTTTTTAGTATGTTCAATTTTGTTCAAACCCCCAACCTCCCAACCAGGCCAGTCGGAAGGTTAAATTGACCGTTCTACAACGCTGGGGAGCTCATTTCGCCACACACGAAAGCCCTGGTTTGAAACTTCACCTGGGGCCAAATCCACCGTTTCCCTCCGCCACACCACACCACGCCGACTCACAGTTTTCCTCGAAACCTTCCAATTTCCCCCGCTGACACGCTGGAGCCGAACCGCAAGCAGGGTAGTTGGTCTGGGACGTGGTTGGATATTTCGGATTAGCGGGAATCGGAGTAGAGGTCCGTGTGGCGGTTCGGCTCTTGGCGGGAAAAGTCGTGTGCGGGAAGTGTTTCTTTCGACCACGTTGCTGCCATACGTAGAAGCGACTAATGATAATCGTGGAACTGAGTATGAAGGGGATTTGCTGCAGCAAAGTTGGGGTACGCGTTCGGTGGCCCCTTTCAGAGAAGCTACAGCAATTACTCTTCCCATGCACAAACCTATTTGTATGCTGTTAAACTACTAATTTAACAGCTTTTATTATTTGGAAGTATGCATTTCACTTACAAGCTGATAATTTCTATATGTCTTTGTGAAGCTCACGCGTAGTTTTCGATTGCTAGATTGGACATAGCACAATGCTTAGGGTACATTCCGCTCTGGACATGTCCCAATCGGGTGTACCGCTCCGAACCGAACTAAACCAGAGACGCAAAAATCTTTACAATGTTTGAAACTAGGGTGTAATTCAGTGTAATAAGATGCAGTGCGGTGGAATCGATTGGGACATGTCTAGAGCGGAATGAACCCTTAGTTTCGACGCAACCCTGAAGCAGGCTCCTGGATTGCTTGCTGAGTGAATGGGAAGAAGAAACAGGTTCTCGTGAAGAATAAAAACAAAGAATACGCTAGACAAGCAAAGTCACACTGGAAGACCCTTAGTAGAATAACAAGGGTGGAAGATGGTGGAATTATGGCAAAAATTACAATGGCAGAACCCTCTCCATCCTGAACTGCGCAAAAGATGTCGGTGCTGGGATTCGAGCCCAGGTCTCCACGGCCACAACGTGGGATTCTAACCACTAAACTACACCGACGCGTTAGATATATTCAAAGTTACGTTTAATTCACAATCCTGGATGTTGTCGGCGATGCCATCAACTGCATGGGATGTGCGAAATTTGAGGAGATTCTCCAGGTTCTCCGATTGGAGGGTGTAATTTCAAATTTCCCCCACATCACACGAGGGCTGTAATTTTGTTCAGCTGTTGGTGCTAACACCCTCCGTAATTTTGTATCAGTAGTGAAAGTAACGGCGTTGATTAGGAGACACTAACCAGACCGGCTCTCTAGCAGCAGCGAGTCATTCCGCGATTCGCCGTGGCCGCAGTGACGGTTCCAGATCAATAACTGACGGTAGGCCTCTTTGCGACATTTGCCAGTGAGCGACGTTCGCGCGGCTGTCGCTAGGAACAATACCGCATCGCGCATTCGTGCGACCTAGAGCTTCGGTCTGACAAAGCCGGCGTCGCGCATTCGTCTACTCACCATATTACCGTGCTACTTTCACAATGGCGGGTGTAAGCGAGTTCGTGTATGGTACAATGCCGGCGCAATACCTGCTTTGCTGCAAGAAGTCGCCTACCTAACAGCCCGTATAAGTTGGTAACTCAACCTGATCCATTCTCTGCCACGTGGCACCCGCTGCCTGCAACTCGAGGTCAATCGTTTCCTATGCCACGTGGCATCCCGTCGCCAAGATGCCACCAATGGGGTGCGTTAGCAGCAGAGGCATGGAAGCCCCGGACCTCGATAGTAGTACCGAATACGACAGCAGCACCATCTCCCGAACCACGTCGCAGTCTTCCCGAGCCACCGCGCAGTCGCCGAGCCTCCATGCTCGGCGGTCAGGACCAGCTCCGTCCAGAGGCTTGGGAGGAGCGATGGGACAGATGGCAGGATCGCAGCCAGTAAAGGTTCGTGGGGTGATTTGTATCAACGAATTACGAGTCTCCTTAATTTTATGTTACGTCTCATACTTGATTTGCGAGTTTCTCTGGTATGTGGCATGCTTTTTATCGTGTTTCGCCACGTCTGGTATAGTATGTTCCTGCTCTTGTTTCTATTCCAACCTTTCGGGCTGAGCAGCTGTGCAACATTGATTGAATTCGCGACCTTTTTGTGTGGTAACCCTAATTCGCCAGGACCTGTTGGACGTGTTCATTGACGAGGTAGAGAGTTCGCACAAGCGAAAGTCAAAGAGCAAGACACACAGACACAAGGGGTCATCTGGAGAAGCTGGTGCAGCGGGGGATGTTGGGGCAGCGGGGGAGGCTGGGGAAACGGGGGAGAGTGGAGCAACAGCGGAAGTTGGAGCGGCAGGGAGGATTGGGGTAGAAAGAGCGTCTGAGGCCGCAGGAGTAAAGGCAGCAGATATTGGGGCGTTGAGAGGAGGGGAGGTGAAAGGAACAGCTATTGGGGCATCCCAGGGTGAGGTAGAGGGGCGAGCAACAGAAGGGCGGAAGGGAGGTGAGGAGGAAGATGGGATGGGGCCGCGAGAGAAAGGGCGGGGTTTGGAGTGCACATTAGATGAGCGCTCATCTAATAGTAAGGCGGCTGGACCAGATACGGAAGTAGCAACAGCAACAGCAGCGCCAGACTCAGCTCCTTTACCTACAGAGACATATCTTCTGAATAATCCGGCTTGCGAGCTTGCAAGGCACGCTGGCGCCACATCGGATGCCACGTCAGATCCTCATGCTGGGAGCTTAAGCACAAACGGTCCTCCTCCTCCTGTTCACAGCAACCCTGCTACAGCCTGCTCCGCGGATTCAGTGCATCTAGACAATCCCAAGGGCGCCTCGTGGAAGGCTGACAATCCCAAGGCTGGTTCAGGGGAGGTGAAAAATCCCGGAGCTGCACAACAGGATACAGGGGAACCAGCAGGCTTAGGTTCGGGATGTACAGACCAGGCAGGTAGCTTCGGTGGTGTGGTTCGGGCCAGCCCTGGCGAGGCTGAAGCAGGGGCGGGTTTTGAGGGAGAGGTTGGGAGAGTAGGTTCGGGGAGGGACGGACCTGTCGTCCGAACCTGGGAGGTTGACCCGGAGCGCCGAGCCAAGAGCTGGAGAAGAGACGTGGAGGCCGAGTTCTCTAGGGGTGAAAAGAAGAGAAGAGGCTCGAAGGCGCAGGTAGTAACAGCTCCGGAAGCAGCAGGTGTGGGCGATGGGGATGGTGTAAGCAGAGGACCAACGGTTGTGATTGACTCTGGAGCGGAGGAAGCTAATAAGGAGCGTCAGATGGAGCAGCCCGTACGTGCTATTGGTAATGCAGGTACAGGGGAGGGCGGAGGGGGCGATAGAAAGGAGGGCGGGGGCACGTATGTGAATTTAGACGCGCCTCTGATTTCGTCTGGTGAGGGGGAGGGTGGTGGTGGCACGTACCTGTTTGCAATGAAGCTGCGACGAGTGAGGAGCTCGGGAGATGTCACGAAAGGGGATGTCTCTAAAGGGGATGTTGTTTCTAACGGGGATGCTACTGACGCGGATGTTGTCAGCAGCGGCGCTGCACCTGCGAGTGCTGGGGTGAAGGCCAGGCAGGAGGGGAAGGGGAGCCTGCTGGGTGTGCTGGAGCATGAGTGCATGGGGGAGGGGGAGGGAAGGAGTAAGGGGGAGGATGAGGAAAGAAGCAAGGAGGGTCAGGAGGGGAGGAATGAGGAGGCGGAGGGCCAGGCTAGCCCCAGCAGCAGTAGGCCGGTGCAAGGCATGCAGAGAGACAGTGGCTTGGTGATGCGGGGAAATGGTGCTGTGGTGCAGAGGAAGCGAGCACTGACGGGTGAGGAGAACGCACAAGGAGGAGATGAGAGGGAGGGAGGGCAGGGAAGCCGAGGGCAAAGGGAGGCCGAGGAGAATGGTGGTGGCGGGGGTGGTGATGATGATCTAATGCTTACTGGCAGCTTCTCCTGCTTCGCCAGGAGTCCCAGGCCCAGCCAGCCTGATGCAAAATTCAGTGCAGGGTGGGGTGGGAATGCCTTTGCCTCTGCTGGCGCTGCTGCCGCTGCTGCTGGCGCTGGCGCTGGCACTGCTGCTAGTTCCCGAGCAAGGTCATCAACCAAGCATCCCCGCAAGTCGATATCCTCTTCAAAGCCATCCTCGTTAAGAGTGCCTTCTCCGAAACCTCCATCTCTCGAACCACGGTCTCCTAAAGCAAGTCTGTTAACGTCCTTCTCGTTGGAAGCCCACTCACCTAAGGTACTGTCGTCTCGAGCCCCTCCCACACTCTCCCTCCCCCCAGCCTCCCCCAGGTCCCCCTCCCTCCCTCCCCCATCCCCCTCAGGTGTCTCCGCCAACCTTCCCCCAGCCTCCCCCAGGTCACCCTCCCTCCAACGCCCTCTAGCCTCCTCGCCCCGGGCTTCATCAGCCAAAAGGGGCGTGTCCATAGTCCTTCCCACAGCCCCTGTCCCAACCTCCCCCAATCCTACCTCCCCCAAGCCTCCCTCCTCCACGCTTCTTTCCCCCAGGCCTGCCTCCCCCAAGCCTGCCTCCCCCAAGCCTGCCTCCCCCAAGCCTGCCTCCTCCAAGCCTGCCTCCCCGAAGCCCACCTCCCCCAAGCTCTCCTCCCCCAAGCCCGCCTTTGCCGAGCCTACATCCCCTAAGCCTGCTGCCAATGCTGCCTCCTCTGCTCCTGCTTCTCCTGCTGCTGCCACCTGTGCAACCACCGCTGCTGTCACTGCTGCTGCCGCTGCTGGTTTGGAGCAGCAAGAAGCAGACGAAGACGCCCTTCTCCTCTCTCTTGAAGCACCTCAAAACTCGCCTGCTGCCCCTGCTGCCTCCTCTGCTGCTGCTGCCTCTGCTGCTGCCTCTGCTGCTGCCTCCTCTGCTACTGCTGCCTCTGCTGCTGCCTCTGCTGCTGCCTCTGCTGCTGCCTCCTCTGCTGCTGCTGCCTCTGCTGCAGCCACTGATGATTCTCAGCAGCAAGAAGCGGACGAGGATGCTCTTCTCCTCTCTCTTGAAGCACCTCAAAACCCACCTGCTGATCCTGCTGCCTCCTCTGCTGCTGCTGCCTCCGCTGCAGCCACTGGTGGTTCTCAGCAGCAAGAAGCAGACGAGGACGCTCTTCTCTTGTCTCGACTCGGATCCCCTCGCATCGTGCTCCCCAATCGCATACAGTCACACTCGTTCAAGTGCATAAGCAGCAGCAACAAAGCCATCCAATTAATGGCACGATCGCGCAGCGATCCTGACGCTCCATCGGCATCTCTGCTTGATCCAATGGCTGACGTCGTCCTTCCTCCCCACTTCCCCACCCTTCCCCATCTTTTCACCCCTCCTCGCCTCGCCACTCCCCCTCGTCCACGCTCTCGGGGAGGCTACAGTAAACTGCAGGTAGATCTAGCAATCATCACGACTGTATCGGATTTTATCGGATTTGATTTGTTTGGGGATGGGGAGGAGGAGGAGGGGGGAGGTGCGTCTGGGGAAGGTGAGTCTGGGGCAGGTGGGATGGACCCGTGGGGTATGGTTGCTGCTGTGGGTGGGTCGCTCTGGCCTATGAGTGACTGTACAGAGGGAGAAGAAGCGGCACAAACTGGTAAGGTGCAATTGAATTCCGCAGAGGTGCTTGTGGTTGATTCTACAGAGGGTGACTGTATGGAGGGAGAAGAGGCAACTCAGCAGGTGCTAGATGATGCAGCAGGTGTGCAAGAGATGAGTGGGGAGGATGTGACTAAAAAGGATGTGAATGGGGAGGATGTGATTGGAGAGAACGTGGCTGTAACGGCAGCTGAAGGGGTGATCGAAAGCAGAGGGCAGGCAGATGGGACTGTAGAGGATGTGAGTGCTGCTGAGGATGTGTCTGGTGGCGATGTGACTGTAAAGGGGGTGATCAGCGAGAAGGTGCATATAAGGGAGGTGATTGTAGCAGCCTCGGCATTGTGGAGGGACGTGATTGAGCACCGGGAGGATGTTGATATGGCTGTAGAGGGGGCTCTGGTGGATAGGGTTACCACACGGAGTGATGAGGGAGAGAAGGGAAGAGGCATGGAGGAGGCGGAGAGCAGAGTGAAACGAATAGGTGCGGGTGCTGATATGGCTGCTGATGTGGCTGCTGATGTGGCTGCTGATGTGGATGATGTGGATACTACAGACGATAAGGTGCCGAGCTGGCAGCAGGTGTGCAAGCAGGGGGAGGTGATTGTAACGAAGGCCAAGCTTCTTATGAGTCTCTTAGAAAGGCTTGAGTGTGAGGTTGCAGAATGTGATGTGCTGAGACTGTCCGCGACAGATGTAACCCTGGGGGGGACAGATGTAACCCAAGCAGGGACAGGTGGAACTGTTCCAGAGACAGGTGTAACCCTGGCACTGGAGAATCTGGTGGTTCTGGCAGAGCAGCATCTGTTGCTGCTGAGTCAGCAGCATACAGTGGGAGGACGAATAGGGGAGGAGGGTGTGACTGTGAGCGATGTGACTATAGGCGGTGTGACAGCACGCAGCATAAATGTAGGCGGTGTGACAGGCGGTCTGGTTGTAGGTGGTGTGACTGTAGGCGGTGTGATTGCAGAAGGGCCAACAGAAAGTGCAAGAAGGTTGGAAAATCTGCTGTTTCTGGTGGCAGGCGTTTTGAGAGTTATGGAGGCGAGGAGGAGGGTGAGAGATGTGGAGAGAGAGGGAAGTGTGAGGGAACAGGGAAAGGTGGAGGAGGGAGTGAGTGTTGGAAACGAAGAGGACGAGGAGGAGGAGGATGAGGACAAGGAAGAGGAGGAAGAGGATGAGAAGGAAGGAGGATGGGTAGAAGGCGAAGAGGAGGACCTGGAAGGAGAGGATGAAGAGGAGGGGGAGGAGGAGAGGCAGAGCCAGGCAGAATTGTGGGATCGAAGTGGGAAGCTGCTAGAAGCTGCCTCAGAGCATGCAGCGCTGCTGGTGGATCGCTGCCTCTCTCTTGCAAACCAGCAGGCAGAGAGTGCGGGCCTAGAGACACAGGGAGGAGGCAGGGAGAAGGGTTTCCAAGAACCACTTGCCCAGAGGGCGAACAGAGGGCAGCTGGGGGTGAATAGAGGACAGCAGCAGGGGATGACGTCTCTGTTCTGCCTGATAGAAAGTGCTGAGCTTCTCTGTGGCTGTGTCCCGCCTGCTGCTGCTCCTTATGCTGCTGCTCCTGATGCTACTTCTGAAGCCTATACAATGCCTGACACTGCTCATCCTTCAGCAGTTGTGCCGTCGTCATCGGCGGTGGCGGCGGCAGCGGCATTTAGGGACCGGGCTGCTGCACATGGGGTGAAGATATGTGCTGCAGGAGCAGCAGCGGCGGCAAAGAATGCAGGAGCGGCAAAGAATGCAGGAGCAGCAGCAGCGGCGGCAACAGCAACAGCAGCAGCTGCGGATGTTGCTAGAGACGGAATGGTGCTTGTTGCAGCAGCGGCAGAAACAATCGGAGGGCTGCTGAAGCCACGTTTGAGGCAGAAGCAGCAGGAGGAGGAGGAAGACCAGGAGCAGCCGCACGAGCAGAAACAGCAGGAGCAGGAGAAGCAGCAGGGAGAGCAGGAGCAACAGGATCAGAAGCAGCAGCAGCAGGAGAAAGAGAAGCCACTGCTTCCTGCTCCGAAGCACTGGGTGTCTCACCTGCTGCTCTCGGGATGGCTGCTGCTGCAGCGCCATACTGCTGCTGCTGTAGAGGCTGCAGCAGTTGTCAAGAGCTGGGGCATTGATTGTTTTAGGGAAGAGACGCTGTTGTCGTCGACAGCAGGTTCGGCTGTTGTCACTACCCTCCAGCTCCGGCTTTCTTTTCTTCGCACCCTGGTGGAAGCTTACAGGAAGCTTCTGCACGCAATTGCAGGGTTCTGGGGCTGGCAAGAGGGGAAGGGGAGCACGGGAGAGGAGGGGACGCGAGAAGAGGGGATCAGGGAAGAGGAAACGCACAAAGGATTGAGCATAAGTAGATCTGACTGGTTAGAGGGGAGTGTGAGTGTGACAGAGTGTGAGGTGGTGTGTGACAAGCTGCTCAGAACAATAAATGCAATGCAGTTGTGGTTCGAGCTGTCTCAACAAAAAGACTGCACTGCTGTGAAGGCGCAGAAGACTTGTGGGCTGGCTGAAACGAAGGCTCGTCACTCACCTTCTCACACAGAAGATATGCTCGTTTCCCTGGGATTCTCAGGGCTGGTGGCAGTGGCAGGCATGGTGAGAGCGATAGAGGCTGCGGCAAACGTTGAGGAGGTGACTTGTGAGGCGGCGCCTGTCATGGGGAAGCGGCGAGAGAATTCAGGGGTGAAGGGAAGGAGAGAAAGAATTTTGATGAAGGGAAAGAGGGAAAGGTCAGGGGGTGTGGGAGCAGCAGGAGGGAAGGAGGGTAGAGGAGACAGGGAGGGTTCAATGAAGGGGGAGGAGGCAGGGCGTGTGGTTGCTGGGGCGCCTGTGACAGAAACGAGTGTGCTTGTACGGGGGGCTGCAAGTTTCTTGGATGAAGTGAGAGATGGGGTGGGCAGGTTGATTAAAGGAGTTGATTATAACAGAGGTACCACACCTGACGATCTGCGGCGGGAGGGAATAAAATCCGCAGATAATAGAATCTGCGGAAATTTTGTCGTCAGCCAGAGTGACGCCGCCCAGATTGCGCTGAGTCTTGTGGCGGCTTCTGTCCGGCATTTTTGTCTTGTAGCAGAGGAGGGCGGTTGCAGGGAGGGCGGCAGCGGTTTGGGCAGGGAGATGGGTGGTGTGCGGTGGGGTGGGAAGCTTCTGAGAAAGGCAGGGAGGAGCTGTGCTGCTGTGATTCGTGCTGCTGCCATGCTTGCAGGTAGGGTGATTGGGGAAGAGTTTGAAGGAGCGGAGGAGACAAGGGGAGAGGGAAGAGAGGGAGGAGGAGAAGGGAGAAGGGAGGGGGGTGAGGAGGAGCAAGAGGACGGGGTGCAAGCAGCAGCAGATTCGCTACTGCATGCTGCAGAGAGGCACTTAAGACTGATGAAGGGCGTTGAGAGAAGGCAAGGGGAGCTGCAGCTCCTGCAGCAGCAACAGGGGCGGGAGATGCAGGAGAAGCAGGTGCAGCAACAGGATCAGTCGGTGCCAGAGGGGGTCTTGATTATCGACGAAAGCAAGGAGGGAGGCAGGGAAGTGAAAGGGGGAAGCAGGGAAGGTGGTCTCTTGGGTGAACTGGCAGGTGGTCACATTGACAAGAGACATGTGAGACGTGAGCAACGGGCTGCTGCTGCTGCTGCTGCTGCTGCTGCTGCTGCTGCTGCTGCTGCTGCTGCTGCGGGTCTGGCTCTGCATTTGGCTCACAACACTGAGATGCTGGTGCTACCTTGGTACTTGCCTTCTGATGGGCGTGCGATTCTGCTGAGAGGAGGGATGGGCAGGGGGAGGGCAAGGCAGGGGTTCTTGCTCAGCAAAATTCTTTTCCGGGCAGCTCAGCTGGGCCAGGTGTTTCTGTCGCATTGGACAGCCAGAGTACCTGATTTTGCGGCGGAAAGTGAAGCTGAGGAAGGGAGGGAGTGTGAGGGTTCGTGGCACAAAACACAGGCTGTAAGGGACGGAGAAGTGGTGCAAGGCCACGGAGCGGCGGACCCAAGGTTCACTGCTAGCCTGCCTGCTGCTGCTGAGATTACCGCTGATGGTGGTCTTGCTGCGCGCTTTGCTGCTGGCTTTGCGTGGCTGGTGCGGTGGTCAGGAGGAATGGCTGCACTCGAAGGGAAGCTGGAGCAGCAGCAGCAGGACCAGACAGAGGGTGGAAGGGCAGGTGGTTGGGAAGAGAGTGGAGAGGTGGATGGGGCGGTGAAGGGGCTACTAGTGCAGGGGGCAGCAGCTAGGGAATTGGCACGCGACTTGCTGATTCAGGCTGAATTGCAGCGGTCCCAAGAAACGACTGATGAGGTTGGGGTTACCACCGGTGTCCATGCTCTTTCGGAGAGGAATGGGCTGTTTCATACTGAGGATAGGCACAAGGATGAGGTGGACAGTGCAGCGTGGCAGTCTACCACTGGTGTGCTGAGTCAGCGCGCTGATTTGGCTGAGCTGGCGGCTGCGTATGCTGAGTCGTGTGTCAGATTCGCTGAGTCAGCAGCAGCTGTGCCGTCTGGTGACGCCTGGCAAGGCCTGCTTCTGCAGGCGGAAGGGTTGGTGGTGGAAGCTTCCAAGCAGCTTCGGATGCTGTTGCAGGCAAAGAAGCACCGAAGCAGCAACAGGAGGCAGCAGAAGGGATGGCAGGGCGGGTATCCAACAGAAAACAGCTGCGAATATTATGGCAGGGGTGGTGTGGATTTTGTAAATTATGGCGGTATGGACTGTTCAAATCATGGGGCTGAAGCAGCATGTGAGGATGACTTCTTGTTGCTGGCAGCACTGGTTGAGGAGGCTCAGTTTCATCACTCGCTGCTGCTCCAAGCAACGCAAGACAGAGCAACAGAGATATGTGCAGCTAAGGCTGAAAGCAGGGTTCATGGCTCAGGGGAGGCTGTGTCTGGGGGAGGTGCATGTGACTCTGTACCAGAGTCACGAGCAGGGGTGCTGGTGTGCAGAGTGGAAAGGTCCTCTATCCGCCGCTCTGCTCTGCTTCTGCGTCACCGTGCCTCCTCTCTCCTCCACCGCCTCTCCATCCCATTCGCACCTCCTCCTCCTCCTGCTGCTGCTATCCCTGGGCTTTCCTTATCGTCAGCATCGTCCAACAAACCTTCCTTCTCCTCCCCCACCACCAGTCACTTGGTCGTGTCAGCAGCAGCTACTGCAGCCAGGCTTGTGACCTCCTCTTCCCTCCTTGCTTCTCTCCTGCAAGCGCTTCTGCTTCTCTCCCCTGATGATCCCAGACCTGCTCCTGATGCATCACCAGCTTCTGCAGCCCTGCCTGCTGCTGTGCTGAGTCAGCAACATGCCACCGTCCACTCACTCGCCCTTGCCCTTGCTGATGTGGCAGCTGACCTGGACACGCAGCTAGCCAGGCTGGCAGACGCATGCCTCCGCCATGCTGCCTGCACTGATCCTGCCGGTGCTGACGTGGCACTTGCGTATTGGCTGCTGGATGCAGGGCAAGAGCTGGTGACTCACTCCCATTGGCTCATACAAGGAACAGGTAAAGGGAAGTCAGGCGTTACAAGTGTTACCGATGTTACAAGTGTTACAGGAGCAGAAGCAGCAGCAGGACCAGCAGCAGCAGTGAACAGCGTGGGTTGTGTCGCTGCTTTGTCTCTCAGGCTGCTGAAAGTTCTCTTCTCCTTCTTTTGTGGCATGCACCGGCCCTCCACCAATGCTGCATCCCCCATTTCTTCCTTTTCAGACTGCCCTGCTCCAGTCGTACCCACCCTGCCTCTACTGCCCGCCTCGCTGACCTCTCGCCTGCAGCAGCTAGAAGCTGCTATGGGCCTGCTAGTCCCTGCACAGGCACACGCGCACGGGAGGGCTTCTGAACCGCAGCATCACAACCCACTGTCCCCCCCACAGCAAGGGCTCTCTGTGCGGAGCAAACAGGGCAGTGGCAGCAGTGGCAGTGCCGTGACAGCAGCACGCACTCTCTGTGTGTCGTGGCTTAGCCTGTGCTCTGAGGCCCTCTCTCTCATGGCCGATATCCGCACTCGGCTGAGTCAGCTCTATGTGCTTTCCCATTCCCATGACAGGGGGCTTGCACATGCCCACTCTGCCACTGATGCAGCAGCCGCGCCTATCCCCTTGCTGAGACCCTTTAAACCCCATCTGCCTATAGCAGCAGCAGCAGCTGTTCCTGTGGTGTCTGCGCTGCTGCTGCGCTGCCTCTTGAGGCTGGGGGGTGCTGTGGCGGAGGTGTGGGGGGAGACTGGTGGGGGAAAGAAGGGGAATTGGGGGAGCCGGGGGAAGAGTAGGGGCGGAAGGGACGGCAGAGGGAGTGAAGGAAGCGGCAAGGGTGGTGACGGGTTGGGATTGGAAGGGGAGGAGGAGCTTTGCTGTGGATGGGTGTACGCTTGGGATAGTGACGGTTCTGCTGCTGCTACTGGCGATGCTGGTTCCCACACCCCTGTCCCCCCTCTTGCCTCTGCAGCAGCATCAGCAGCAGCAGAGGTCACCCTCCTGTCCTTGCTCCATCACAACATGCCCTTCCCACTACCATCCCCATTATCCGACCACAAAAGTTCGGGACAAGGTAGAAAACGGGAGGAAAGGGGCGAGCTAGTGGATAGTCATGGAGGGGAGAGAGGAGGAGGGGAGCAGACAGAAGGAGGAAAAGAGGGAGAACAAGTCAAGGAGCCGTTTCTGGATGGGGGAATTTCTCGGCCTGTTCTCTTTGGCGATCTCTGTGCTTCCATTTGTTCCAATGCTGCTGCCGCGTTGACAGGAAATGCCACAGATCTTGCAGATGTGGCTGGTAGTAACCCTGAGAATGCTTCTGCTACAGCTGGTGCTACAGCTCTTGCTACAGCCTCTAGCTTGGCCGGGCAAGCCTCTGCACTGCTCTCCGTGCTACAGTCGCTGGTCTCGGATGCTGCTGCTACAGCCATTCCTGCTGCTATAGGCTCTGCTGCTACAGCTGTCGCTGCTACTACTGGTGCTGCTCCTGCTGGTGCGGTTTCATCTGACGCTGTGAGGGCAGCTGATGCGTCGGCTATATCTGCTGCTACAGCTGGCAATGCAGGGTCGTCAGCCCAGCTTCTTCCTGCAGTGGCGATGGCGGGAGCAGCAACCGTGGTGGCTCACACTATGGTGCATGCGCTTTCTCTGGAGATCACTCTTTCCCTAGGCGCGCAATCCGCTGGTGAGTGCAAAGCGAGTGCATGAGTGGGTGAGTGATGAGCATGTAACAGTGGCAGCTCTTTTCCTTGCCCTGCAATCCGCTGGTGAGAGGGAAAGCGTGTGGTGTGGGTATGCATTTGTGCGTATGAATGCGAGTGAAGGCATGCAATGCAAGCATGTTGAGACTCTCACAGCTTCTCCCAGCAGTGACGACGGCGCGAGCAGCAGCAGTGGTGGCTCACGCTGTCCTGCATGCTCCACAGCTTGCTCTTTCTCTTGGCACTTGGCCTGCAATCCGAGGGTGATTGAGATGTGTGAGAGTGTGAGCGGCTGACTGTGTGGGTGTGGGATTGGGTGAATGAGTGAGCATGTTACAGGAGCAGCACTTAGGCAGCGGTGGCTCACACTGTAGTGCGTGCAATCGCTCTGGTTGTGGCATGCCGGTGGGAGGGGGTGAGTGAGTGTGTGTATGTGAGTGTGTAAACTTTTTTTACCGGAACATTCAATTAACAACTGTCCGCTTCTCTAACACTCCTCCCTTGATTGTTGTTGCTCCCATCAGGCACACAGGAGCGACTCACCTCGTTAGTGCAGGGAGCCACTCGCCTCTCACACTTACTCAAGAGCCACTTAGCTGTGCTGCAGCAAGCTGCCAACCAGGGCTGTGGAGCTCCTAGGTTCTTCCTCGCGATGACAGATGGCGCGACGCTATTCGCCCGTAAGCTACAGGGCCATATAGCTGAGTTACAAGTGGCCGAGGCTGCTTGTATGGGGGATAAGGCGAGGGGGAGAGGGGGAGACGGAAGGGGGGGATGGAGCGGGAAATGGAGCGGAAAATTTGGGGCAGTTACAGCAGAGGAGGATCTCGCTCGGGCAGCTGGAGGAGCGTTCCGATTGGCTTCTGAGGCTGCCCGGCACGCTGGGCGGCTAGAATTGGAAGCTTCTTGGGAAGCACTGGGAATGGATGGCAGCAGCAAGGGGGGGGTGATTGGCAGTAGGGGCCCTCCCAAAGCCAGGCATCTGCTCTTTGAGAGACATGCAGCAATGAAGCCTTTGGCTCATGCCAAGAAGGTAGAGGCAGAGTGGATGTGGGGTGGGGGCGATGAGGATGAGGAGGAAGGGGATGAGGAGGAAGAGAAAGAGGTGGAGGAGGAGGGAGAGGGTAGGCGCAGCGAGAATGTGGAGGGTAGAGGAATTGGAAAAGGGGAAACTGGAAGGTTCAGTGGCAGAAGGATGGGCAGCAGGTTCGCGGGGAGCAAGTTTGGGGGAACCAGGAGAGTGAACGTGGAGTTGCTTATAGAGAGTGTGAATATAGCCGCAGAGCTGGCATACCACAGCCATAGAGTGCTGACCAAATGCGTGGAGGGTGTGGGTTCCGGCTGGGTTGGGGAGGTCACAGAAGCTGCTCTTTCCGCACAGATTATTGACGCAACTGGAGGCTTTGCGTCTGATTTGAATATGAGAGGAGGTGCTGGTGTGGTGAGGGTCTCTGCTACCAGTGGGGTGAGAGCATATGGGGATGTGGATATGAGTGCACCCATCCCTGTTCTCTCCGTGTTTGCAGTCAAGCTGCAGACACCTGCTGCTGCTGCTGCTGTGGGAGAGTCAGCAGCGTCGGCAGGAGGGGTACGGGGCGCAGGAGAGGGGGATGGTAAGGTGCTGCAAGGAAGTGAGCCCACAGCACATGAGGGGACTGCTGCTGTCGAGACTACTGTCAGAGCCACCACCACTGCACCTGCTGCTGCTGCACCTGCTGCTGCTGTGGCTGCAGCCTCTGATGGCTCTGCCTCTGTGGGTGCTGCTATTGACTCGACTCAAAACACACCCGGAAAACGCTCTGCAGCAGACGAAGCTTCTGTCGCCACCCCATCCCCCCTCCTCTCCTCCTCATCTCCGTACCTTCCTCCGAGCTCCAGCTGTCACTCCGCCATTCGTCCGACGCCCCATGCTGACGTCATCCTCCCCATCCCTCTCTTCCTCTCGTCTTCTGAGGAGGATCGGAGCAGCTTCGGCACTGACCCAACCCTGGAGCATGTTTGGTGTAGCTCCAGCCTAGGGCCGAGCCACGATCAGCCTCGGATCAGCTCCGGACTTGACTTGGCTCGGGAGCAGGCTCGAAGCAGCCTTGAAAGTGGGGGCAGTGGGAACGAGAGGGGTGGGAGGGAGGGGAGGAAAGGAAGGGAGAAGGAGAAGGGGAGGGAGAGGAGGCGGATGGAGTTAGTGACAGGAGGAGGTAGGGCGGATCCTGGCTCGGCATCTTTTGCCTCAGCTGTGTCAGCAGCATCAGCTGTATCAGCAGCATCAGCTGTATCAGCAGCATCAGCTGTATCAGCAGCATCAGCTGTATCAGCAGCATCAGCTGTATCAGCAGCATCAGCTGTATCAGCAGCATCAGCTGTATCAGCAGCATCAGCAGTTTCAGCAGTTTCAGCAGCGTCAGCAGCAGCAGGAGCAGGAGCATCATCTATTGAAGGTTCAGATGGTGGATCCAGGTTGAGAAGGGTGCGATCCGGTGGGAGTCAAGGCAAAGAGAGCATTGGCAGCAGGAAGGGGGGTGGAGAGGAGGGAGCGAGACTGGGAGGGGTGTCAACAGTGGGAAAGGGAGAAGGAGGAGGAGAAGCAAAGGCAGGAGAGAAGCTGGTTCGTGGTGGTTCGGGAGCTGGAGGTTCGGTAGGAGGCTCCCCAGCCGGAGGTCCGGTAGGAAGAGGCTCGGGAGCAGGCTCAGGAGCAGGAGGTGGGAGTGACACGGGCAGCTTGAAACTTAGCCTTGGTTCCCTCCTGGGATCGCAGGGTTCGGGCAGCTTGAATGAAGCAATAAATCTTTTTTTGGAGGAACTGGAGGTTGGAGAGGGGCGAGGGGGGGGAGAGAAGAAGGGGAGGAAGGTGAGAAGGAAAGGTGGGGAGGGTAGCATGGAAAAAGGTGAGGGTTTGGAAGGGGGGATGGAGATGGGTGGTGGGGATGCAGATATGCCTGCAGAGACAGAAACAGGAATTGAGACAGACATCGAGAGTGATGCTTGGAGTGTGTCTAGTGGGGGTTGGGACTCGTCTGTTGGAGATGGGGTGGAGGGAGAGGAGGAGATGAGGGGGGAGTTTGAGGGTAGGAAACGGGGGGTTGGGGAGAGGAGTGGGCAGAGAGAGGGGAAGGGGGAGAGGGAGGAGAGTGGGAGAGAGGGTGGTTTGGGTGGGGGGGTGGAGGGAGGGACGGGTGGGGAGGGTGAGGAGGAGGAAGATGAAGACGAGGAGTGGTATCAAGAACTGCTGAAGAACATGCGCGATGTGGACTTGGGGTTTGGGAAAGAGGTTATAGCATCTGAACAAGAAGAAGGGGCATGTGAGAGGGAAGAGTCAACCATTGAGGAAGGAGTGAGGTCCTTTGGGCTGAGTCAAAGTGTAGTAAGGGGTCTTCTGGCGGAGGAAGGAGGGGAAACGGAGGAGAGCGGGAAATGGCGAGGGGCAAATGAGGTTCCTATCTCTGCAGAGGCAGGAGGAGGGAGAGAGGAGGCGCAGAGGGGGGAGGGTGGGAAAGGAGAGCCTGCTTTTGAGTCGACTCAAGAGGAGGCGCAGAGGGAGGAGGGTGGGAAAGGAGAGCCTGCTTTTGAGTCGACTCAAAAGGAGGCGCAGAGGGAGGAGGGTGGGGAAGGAGAGCCTAGCCCTTGCAGCACTGACAGCGACGCTGGCACCATAGCTTCGGAGGCGACCGACGCTGTGCCGGACCTGCCGTTCAGGCTCGGAAAGCGGTTCTACAACATTGATTCGATGCTGAACATGCGCGAACCTGCAGTTGCCTCGGGGGCCGGTGGGGTTGGGGCTGGTGGGAAGCTGTTTTCAGGGTACTTGGATAGGAAGGGACGTGGGAGGACCCTCATTGATGGTGCTGTGGTGGGGGCGTCAGTTGGGGCAGCCAGGGCAGTGGGGGCAGTGGGGGCAGTGGGCGTGGGGGAGAAGGTTTCAGGGAGAAGAAAAGGGGAAGGAGAAGGGAGTGGGGGTGACAGGAGTGATGGTGGCGAGACGAGCGAAGTGACTTCAGCAGAGGGAGGAGTAGGAGGAGGTGGGGGAGGCGAAGGGGAAGGGAGTGCGTCACAGAGTTCTGATGTTGCGGTTGCTGCAAATGCTGATAATGATGCTGATGATGGTGGTGATGCTGCTGATGCTGGTGCTGATGTTTCTGCCGCTGCTGCTGGTGCTGATACTGATGCTTCTGCTGCTGCTGCTAATGCTAATGCTGGTGCTTTTGCTGTTGATGCTGATGCTGCTGCTGATGCCGATGTTGCATCTGCTTGCACTGTGGTTGGTAGTGCTGCTGCAGCTGATGGAGGCTTGTCTGGGGTGCATGTGGAGGGATGCGATAGACAGTCAGCACCGGCAGAAGAAGCAGCAGCCATAGAAAGTGCAGCAGCAGCAGTGGAACGTTCGCCAGCACCCACACAAACAGCAGCAGAAGATTTGAAGGGACTTCTGGCGGATGCAACAACAGAAGATTCAAGAGCAGAGGATACACCAACAGCAGCTGCAGCAGCAGCAGAAAGTGACAGTAACGATAATGACAGAAATGGCGAGGGTGACTGTCACGAGGGCGAGGGTGACAATAACGAGGGCGAGGGTGGCAATAACGAGGGCGAGGGTGACAATTACAAGGGCGAGGGTGACAAGAATGAGGGTGACTATCAAGGTGAGGGTGACCGAATTGATGGTGCCAATAGCGAGCGTGACAGTGAGAAGGACGGCAGTGTCGAGGGTGACAATAATGAAGGCGAGAGTACAACAATTTGTTCGGAGCATCCGGACCTTCTGCAGTTAGACGAGGTTTCCCGAGCCAAGCAGGCTCGGCGACAGTGCCATGCCGAAGCTAAGGCCGCCGTGGCTGCAGCTTTGGATGCCCAGGATGACCTGGCAGACGCCGAAGCTGCATTGGAGGAAGCTTCCAAGGAAGTTGCACGGCTCACGGCATGTACTGACACAGAGAATAAAGGCTCAAGCTTGGAAGTGTTTGTCAAGGGGGAAGGGGTTGCTGATAACCAGGTGACATTTGAGTTGACTCAGGAGATGGCATGTACTGACAATGAGAATAATGACACAAGTCTGGAGGGGCTTGTAAAGGGGGAAGGGGGTCCTGGTAACCAGGCAGGGGTTGTGGTTACGGTTGATGGGGGAAATGAGGGCAGCAGCAAGGGAAGCAAGACAGCCGAAGTCGAAGGAGAGGGGAATGGAGAGGAGGGGGAGGGGGGAGGGGGAGGAGGGAGTGACTGAGGTGGGAGAGGGAACTGCTGAAGGAGAGGAGGTGGGGGGGAGAAGTGCAGTGACAGCTGAAGTGGACGGTGCAGGTGATGCATCTCTTTCTTCTGCCCGCTCTTCTGCCCTAGCTGCCCTGGAACAAGCTCAGCTTGCCCGCAATGAAGCTGCTGCCCGGATGCGCGCCCAGCGGCGTCGGGCAGCTGCAAAAGTTTCAGAGCTGGAAGCTGCCCGGTCCCTCTACACCACACTGCTTCGGGCAAAAGAAAAGCGGGTGGCTGAAATAAATAGTGCTGCTTATGGGCTGATTGGGGAGATGAAGGCAGCAACTGGGTGTGTAACACCTGGTGTGGTAACCCCACGAGGGGGCTCTGCTGCTAGTAGTGAATTGCTTGATGTGCAACACTGCACAGATGGTGTAGGTGGTGACTATAATGACGAGGGCTAGTAAAGGGGAGCAAGTGCGCACCGGGTTTTGGAAAAATTCTAGGGCTTGACGAAAACACTTGGCATGTGCGAAAATAGTAATACGGTGTCATAATCCGCAAGATGAGAAGCAGGTTGGCGAAACGGTGAATCCTCATACCACACTTCAAGTTTCAAACATTAGTTTTCTGTGCATGCCATGTCGGCTCTTCAAATGATGCTTCTCAAATTATTAAGATATTGATAACAAGTCTCGGTTGTTACCCAATCCATTATATTGAGAAAGCTTGCTTCTGTAGCAATTGGCATCGTTCTCATTACAATGGGCTCAAGTACAATGGTTCATAGCAATTATAATAATATACTATCACATCCAAAATATCTAAGAACTTCTTCTACTCTCAAAAGATGACTAGCACGGGGAGGGTGGGTGGGAATTGAACTTGAGCGATTGTAAAATGAGAGACGTGGGTGGGGGAAGAATGACCCCAGCCCACATTATATATTCGGAGAAGGCGAATACCGCGCTTCGACGATGCACAAAATTGCATTACAGTCAGCTTCGCTTTCACAATACGCAAATTTGAAAGCGATAAACGCTTAGAAAATTTTCATATTGAGAAAGCTTGCTTCTGTAGCAATTGGCATCGTTCTCATTACAATGGGTGACGCTGAGACATGTGCAAGGGGGCGTGACGGCGGCGCTTGAGGGCCCTGGAATGTTGTGCTGGTGATGGCGCATGAGCCGTTGATTGGAGGTTGCGAGAGGCGTCAATCAGACGGTCGGCGGTGGGGGTGACATACATTTCCTTGGCCGCTTCACTGCGCCATCGACCTAGCTGTTTGAAGAGCCGATCCTCAATTCCTGCGTTTGCCGCTACAGTTGCCGCTCCTTTGCGAAAGGAGTGGGTGCCGAGCGCGTGGTCGCCGAGGCCGATGGCGTGGAAAGCTTCCCTGCACCAATTGCGTATTGTGGTATACGATGGTGGTTTGACGGGAAGTGTGTCGCTCGTGGCCAAACCAAACACTCGGATTAATGGCCCCGGTGTGGTAGGACCATATCCTGCCAGTTGGATGAAGTGCTTGGTGCATCGAACGGGGCAGAAGGGTCCCTGGCTTGCGGCAATGGGCACCCATGAGCCCTTCCCCTCTTGGTCGGTCTTCGAGCGCGGGATGAGTAGCCACATGGCATCGTCTTCAAACTGGATATCGTTCCAGCAGATGGCGGCGAGATCCGAATACCGCAGGAAGCCGGCGTACATGAGAAGCGGTATGAGTCCTTTTTGAAAGGTGGATGGGTCGTCCGAGCCAATGAAGGGTGTGGCCATGGCGTGCACTTGGTGAAGAGACACTGGTTCCTTGGTCCGGTGGGGCCGAGGGCAGTGGCGCTTGGCAAATTCTCGGACTTGAGATGTCATTGGGCCGATGGTAGGGCACGCGGCCCCAATCATACGGTGGGCAAAACCAACCGCCGAGCAAGTGAGTTGCACCACTGAGAAGGTGGCTTGGTGGTGAATGGCGTAGACGAGGTACAGCGCGAGTGTCATATCTTGTGCGGGCAGGAATGGTAATTTAGTCTTGATGCAGAATGAGCGGAACTGCTGCCAATATGGTTCGTAAGTCTTGATCGTAGATTTCGCACGTGTTTGCAGCATCATTGTGAGCAATTGGCTCTGCAGCGAGCGGAGTAATCCTGAAGCGATAAGAGAGGACGCAAACAAAATATGTTAACGGAAGGAGATGCGCAAGGCCATCATCATGCTATGGGGGAGGCCGGAACCCGAGAATGCTGAGGTGTGCGTGCCTGGTGCGAGGCATTGGCTTCCGTGAGTAAGTTTCAGGCAATCACGGATCGGCGAGGCCCAGGCGGGTGGCGAGGGTTGGAGTAGTGGCCACCAACTAGCCCCGGGCCAGAAGGGGACGATGAGTGTCAGTGAGGCGGATGTCCTTTGTGCGTGGTGAAGGACTGCCGGGATCAATTGTGGTGGTGGAAAAGCGAAACCATGTTCGTCAGCCCAGGATGTTGCGAAGGCATTGATCGCTAATGCCTTGGGATGTGGGTGTTCGCAGTAGAATCGGGGGAGCTTGGCATTCGCAGCACTGGCAAAGAGATCTATAGAGTGCGGCCCCCAACGTCGTTCGAGAAGATTAAACCATGGGGCCTTCAAGGTGTAGTCATCTCGGTCGAGAGTCTTCGAGAGCTCGTCCGCGAGCGTGTTAAGCTCGCGAGGTATCCATTCCATGATCAAGCGAATGCGACGAGTCATGCAGGTGCGGATGATGGCTTTGCATGCGGAAGTGAGAAAACTGTTGCGTGATCCACCCTTTTTTAGAATAAAGAATACGCCCTGGTTGTCGACACGCACGAGCACATGCTTGTTCTGGATGAAGCTGGTGAAAGTTTGCAGCGCCCAGAGCACCCCTTCTAATTCACGACGAGTACTGGATGTGCCAGGTAGTTCCGGGGGCATGTTCGCGCAGGCCTTATGAGTCGTCGTGGAGAATGTGTCGAGTGTGGCCCCCCAGCTGTGCGCGCTGGCGTCGACGTGAATGATAGCGTCGTAGCTACCACGAACATGAAATGGGGCTCCATTGAAGTGGTCGAACTCGGTTGACCAGAACTCCAACTCTTCGCAAGCACTCGGGGACAGTAACAACCTGCTGTTCCATGAAGACGCATCGTTGATGGTTTGTAGTAAGGCATGACTGAATGCTCGCGCTGTCGCCCCAAGAGCAAGGGTCATGGAGGCGAGCATGCCTGTGATGCGTGCGACTTGCCGTACTGGGACTTTGTGCTGTGCACGTCCTGCTGCCAATAATGAGGCGATGGTGGATTGCAGGACGCTTCGTCGCTCGGTGCCGACAGAAAACTGTCCTCGTTGGGTATCGAGCTCCAATCCTAGGAATCTTAGCTGCTGAGTAGGATGGAGATGAGACTTTTTGGCGTTGATCACGAGGCCCGCTTCTCTTAGGTCCGTGATCGTGCGGGAGCAGACATCTCGAGCCGCGCCTTCTGAGTGGCACAGAAAGAGGATGTCATCTACGTAGGGAATGACGCGGACCCCTGTTGCTCGCCATCGACGTGCCAACTGCTTGATCAATTGAGTAAAGACGAAAGGCGCTGTCGCTAGTCCGAACGGAAGTTATCTGAAACAGTACGAACGCCCCTCGAACTGAAGGCCAAGAATTTCCAACAGGATGCGTGGATGTCAACGTGGTGGTAACCCGACTTGAGATCAATTGAAAACATCCAATCCCCCGGATGTGCAAGTTCCGCCACGCGAGATAGTCCTTCGTGCTTGAACTTCGGAATGCACAGCTCGTTATTAACTTTGCGTAAATCTAGGATGAGGCGACACTTGTCTCGCTGCTCGACGACGTTGAGGGGGCTAATGCATGCAAGCTCCGATGCTGGCACCTCGATTGCTGCGCCAGTTTGAAGAAGGTCTATGATGGCTGATCGCGTAAAATCCATGTGAGCATGGGTTCCAGCATGATTGGAGCACTGAAATGGTCGTGGCGGTCCTTGTTTCCACGGCATCCAGTAGCCTCGTTCGATAATTGATAAGATAAGACTGCTCGTACACCATGTTCGCCACCAAGCCAGTGCGGATCGCAAGCGCCCTCGCATGACGAAAGTTGTCCTATCCGTCACTGCGTACTCGAAAGGGTCGTCTGGTTGCCCCAAGGCATGCATCGGCAGGCCTGCACATGGCAGTATACGAAAATGCAACACATGACCGTTAGCGTTTTTTTTTTTTTTTTTTTTAACCAAGCAAGCATTGACGCTCGAGTGGGATAACCCCTCTTGTAAGCACGAGACCAGGGCTAGCACTCCCCCCATTCCGTGGTTCCATTTCTCGACCTTCTCACCCTCTCCCTTTCTCTCTCTTTCTCTCTCTTTCTCTCTTTCTTTCTCTCTCTCTCTCTCTCTCTCTCTCTCTCTCTCTCTCTCTCTCTCTATCTCTCTCACCCTCCCTCTCTCTCTTTCTCACCCTCTCCCTCTCTTTCTCTCTTTCTCTCTCTCTCTCTCTCTCTCTCTCTCTCTCTCTCTCTCTCTCTCTCTCTCTCTCTCTCTCTCTCTCTCTCTCTCTCTCCCTCTCTCTCTCAACTTCTGCCACTTCTTTTATGTGTCAGCCCATGGCAAGGTTGTTTGCCCTTTGGTTTTTCATATTAATGTTCGGAGACTAAGTTTCTCGAGGCTTCAATTGCCTCCCTCAAAAGGCCTCCTTGAGGCGTGGCGTGAGAAAAACTGAAGAGCAACCAGGAGATCCTTTAGTAAGGCTTCTCTTCACTCTCACAACAAAATGCACAACAAAAATTTATAATTAGAAAGAGCAACTCCATAGAGCTTATCAAGAACTTCTATGCAAGCGCCCTTAGACCCTCAATGGTCTATTCCCTTTAGAAACATTTTCACAGCAAAACTAAACGGGAAGAGATCAACTTCATGATGCTCTAGAGAGCTTCTAGGCAAACGCCTTAGACCCCAAAGGTCTTTCCCCTTAGCCAAACGGCAATAAAAACCAGCCCAAGGGCAAGGCCAATAGCCGCCCCGTCGAGTTTAAACTACCGGCGCGGGTCCGTGAGGA